CTCTACTATAACTACTACGTATGTGTGTGTGTGTGTGTGTGTGTGTGTGTGTGTGTGTGTGTATATATACACACCTAATGGCTACAGTTACATACATTGTGTTTAAAAAAACAAAACACAGGCTTCAAACAAAGAGGCAGGAACATGCTTTCCATTATGGGGTGGGAGTGGTATTGTTAATGGTATTGACTTGGTCCTATCATCTTGTTGTGAGACAAGGTAGCTATCACTATAGTAACATCTCAGGAGACCGAGTTCACCTTAAATGATTCAGCACTTACATTTTACATGATAGTTGACTATTCTTTTTCCTAAAGAAGAATAGTCAACTATTCAAAAGTGCTCGAATTTTGGTCTTGTTTGAAAACATTACACCTTTTTTAGGTGATCCTGTGTGCTAACTTCTGAACCAGAATTTATATCTTCACAATGATAGTGTCTTCTGAGATGACAGTGCACCTCCTCAAACTGCAAAAACTTTTACAAACTGATTTTTAGAGCAAGATAAAACCTTTAGTTGTCTACTCTGTTCTGCTCAATCACCAGATCTTAGCCCCATTTTTGAAAACCATTTTTCTACTGTATTGTCCTTGAAGAAGTTATAGGCATTTTTTTCTCAAGTACAAGTTAATACTCTGCTCCAAACTTTACAATTTTGATAAAAAATTCAGGTGGTGGTATAATGAAGGAAGATTGATAAAGACTCCAACATCTTTGGAAAGCACTGAAACCTTGTGAAGAGAGAGAGTTGGTAGTCAACAGTATTTGGGGGAACCCATCTTCAGGGGTTACTTAAAGATGTCATCACCCACTAACTCTCTCTCTATATATCTCACATCGAGAGTATTCAGTGCTTCCAAGGATGTTGGAATCTACAATCAACCTTCCCTACCAACTTATTGAGAGATCATGGTAGCCCAAGCTATTCTAAACTATTTTTCGGGCAGGGGGGAAGGGCAAAGTAGTGTGCAGTTGTGAAGTGAATAAAAAAATTCATATATAATATATATCATATATGAATAAATAAAGAATTATGTTTCTCATTTTCCAGGGAAGGGACAAGCATCCCACCCACTACATGGACGCCCAAGCCAGCCATCATAGCTTTATTGTACTATTCTGTTTAAATCAAATGCCGAGGTTTGAAACAATACTTAGTAATGATAAAAAAAAACTTATTTTTGCTTTGTTTACTTAGGAATAGTATCACAAATTTAGATACTTTACCATCCCAATGTTTACAAAGAGCTTCTACCATCTGCAATCTGTCCATAGACAACTGAGCTACAAGAGTGACATCATTCCCTTCAGATGACTGAGAACAAACAATTTACATATAAACTAATAGCCTATTCTTGAATAAATAGAATAAAAATCAATATTGGTGAAAAGGGAGAATATTGATTTGTTAATAATATGTTGTTTACAAACTACAATTGATCATTTTTGTTGTAAGATATATATACAAAGAAATAAAATCAAAATGCAAATTTTTGCAATTCTAACATCACTTGACATTTTTTTTTTACATAATCAATAATATGCTGCTCTGTTGAAAAATAAATTTTCACTATATCCATTGATCTTTGACATTTTCTATATAATTTTATCCCAAATGTTTTTTAGCAATCAAAACAAATTAACATTTAAATAGTTTAGAAAAAAAATACTAACGTTCTGATCCACCAATTAAGCATTGTTTTCTAGATTTAATTTAAAACCTGCTTTTAATTATTTTTTATTTAGCTTATTACTATCTTTTATTTGATTCTATTATTTATGTTAATTAGAACATAAATTATGTTGTACACTTACAGGTTCATAATCATATTCAATATAATATAAGTGGGTCCTGTGCTCTACCACTCTTGCTCTTCTGAACTCATAACAGGGGTCATCTTCATCAATGGTATTTAACTATGAAATGCAATACAGCAAATACCAAATTGAAAAACAGACCAAAATCAGTTTATGGCTGTATAATATGTTTATAACTAAACAGTGAAACATGAAACATTAAAAAAAGTATTCAATTATCTTGACTTGAAATTTAAAAGAGATTTTCTGGAGATATCTTGCTGTCTATTGTATATAAATATTCATGTAACTAAATTAAATACTAGAAAGAACTACGTTTTTTAAAATTTCACACAAGTTTTTATCAGTTGTACATAGTAAAACTTTTGTTTATTTTATTCACAACGTTTCAGCAGGTTTACCTGGCATCGTCAGGTGGTATACGAGAACTAGGACTAACGGAATTTAATTTAAAAAATAACCTATAACAATAGTAATCTACAAGCATGCAACTGACCAAGTGTAAACAATAAAATAATTTATCGATGAACTGTACATTTTAAGTATAAGCCCGAGTCTAAATATTGAAATAGAATGTAAAATAGATGTAAATGAACACCTTTGTATTTGTAAAGAATAGGGTTAAGAATTAGGATCACAATACTTAAGGAAATGTTTATACAACTGGATGTACAAATTGCCAAAACTTTTATATTGGTGAGACTAACAGACAACTTTCTACTCGTTTGCGTGAACATATAAAATCTCCATCTCATTTTTGAATGTACATCAACGAAAAACCATTCTTTTGATTCTTCCCAGGTAAAAATCCTCAGCAGAGAGGACAAAATTAATAGAAGAAAAATAAAAGAAGCCCTATTTATCAAAAAACATATCCCTATTCTTAACAAATACAAAAGTATTCATTTACATCTAATACAATTCTCTTCTCTTTTGTACATAGAACTTACTTCAACACTTAGACTCAGGCTTATATTTAAAATTGACAGTTCATTGATAAATTATTTTATTTTTACGTTTGGTCAGTATGCTTGTATATTACTATTATTATAGGTTGTTTTTTAATTAAATTCTGTTAGTTTCGGTTCTCGTATGCCACCTGATGATGTTTGAAGAACCTGTTGAAACATTGTGAATAAAACACACACAAGTTTTACTATGTACAACCGATAAAAACTTGTGTGAATTTGTGTAACTAGTTAGAATAATTTTAAGAAATGTAACTATTAAATAAAATCCATGGTACTAATGTACTACAATTATCTGAGTCAATGAAAGACTTTCTAATTTGCCAGGTTTGGTTTCATTTTTATGTACAAGTTCAGATGTTCTGTACTTTTAAAATTTTATGAAAATATTCACTATAAAACAAGCAAGTTCTTGCATTATATCTAAAACTATGCATTTTCAAAAGAACAAAAAAAAAGATTAATGAAAGATTATAGCTACTAATTCCTAAAGTAAGAAAAATAAATATAGCTTGCATTTTTCAACTTTTTAGGTATTGAATAAATTTTGTCACAGCAACATTACATTAATAGTAATGTTCACCTGATACACACACACACATACACACACAAAAAAATCCTGAGAGTGAATGAATATTTTTAAATTCTTGTAGAAGATTTATAAAGGTTCTAGGTCCTTAGATTGGAGAATATGTCTTAGTGATGAAATTCTAAGTAATTAGATATCATTACTCAAGGGTTGTCACCACAGATACAATATTGAGGAATCCACAATGATGGACAGAGCAGACAGAATAAATCATAATTTACATATCGATCCACTGTGGTAGAAATAATTCAATAATCAGTGACTATTAGTTCGTCACTTATGGTACACATCAGAAAAAACAAATACAAAATTATCCTTAAAATCTTCCAGAGTTGATTAAAAAAACTAAAACATTATTTCTATTTTTTTTGTCTTTTTATATTGTAAATATGAAGACACAGAATTCTATACTATCCCTCCAGTATGAAAAGCAAGTAGGCCATGACCCCTGGTGGCAGCATTCATGCCTACTCAAACTTAATGCCCAGGTTTAAGTCAAATTTGAATGAACTCCAAAAGTAACTTTGCAAAATATATATATGAAGCTAAACAAACTTAGAAGTATCTATAATAGTTTAGTTTTGTACATGTAAAAAATATTTGAGAAACAACAAAAAAAAGCTATTTCAATGTCATTTGTCTATCATTTGACACTAGTGGCACATAATGTATAGAAATTTTGATATCCACTTACCACGTCTTGCAGATGTGTACTTCTGGTATTATTACACCCTATCAGCTCACGACGTAACAAGTTACCATCATACTCAAGAAATGTTAGGTAAAGATTACGGAAAAACTCAACGTGCTTGTTCTTTACTTTCAGTTTCTTAGGAGAGTTCCAGTGGATCACCTGTAAAATAAGAAGCTAAAGTAATATTTGTAATCTGATCTTGATGCTTAAAAGGCTGTCTTTGTGGCTTTAGTAAAACCAACAAACACACACTAGCTGAGGGTACCCATTAAGGAAACAAAAATTGTATAAAGGACAACATTAGATAACATTCCCCTTCCTTTTTTTTCTTAAATCCCTAATGACTTCATTAAATGCTAATAGCATACCAAGCTTTGTGGAAAGTAATAATTGATTAAGTACTTGTCTTTAAGTTAGAAGCCAAAAGTTTATAAAAAAAAATGTGCCCTATTTAAGGGGTTTTTAATGCCACCTTTCTGGACGAAAAATTCTAAAACAAAAAAGCCCAACGTACACCATTGGACAGTTTCCAATTGCCATATCAAACATTACATAATTGAGTCAGCCAACTCCAAGTGATGGATGATAACAAACACACATAATGGATCATCTTTATAAAGCTACTTAAAGGCTAGCTGCATAAGCCAGAACTAAGTTGGAAGTGATAAAGTTACAGACTATAAGGAAGACATCTAGTCAACATCACTCACCACCATGCTGCTAAAATTGTTAAAAATTGGCTCAAGGAATACAAGGAAGATCTTGGGCACCTAACTTGGCCACCAAAGTCAACAAATTAAGTGTTATTAAGCTTCTCTGGTCAGTTCTTGAAACTAAAACTGTGAAGCATATTTTCAACATCACCAACTCAACAATTAGAAGATCAATGAAGATCCTGGGATATCGTCTTAATGCTGTATTGTCTGTTCGTTGGAGACCAATTCCATATTCACGAGTAAAATGTAGATATTAATTAACAGCTCTTTCAATTATTTTGTCACCCAACCCCTGTGTATGTATTCAACTTTTTCTTATCTTTACTTAGTTTAATCAATAATCAGAAAATGTTATGGTAAAAAGATAATAAACAAATGGGTCATTGGTATGTGGTGCCTAATCTAGCAAACCAGATCCCCTACTCACCTTATAAATAAGAGCCATAAACTAAGATAATAAACAAATGGGTCATTGGTATGTGGTGCCTAATCTAGCAAACCAGATCTCCTACTTACCTTATAAATAAGAGCCGTAATCTAAGATAATAAACAAATGGGTCATTGGTATGTGGTGCCTAATCTAGCAAACCAGATCTCCTACTTACCTTATAAATAAGAGCCGTAAACTAAGATAATAAACAAATGGGTCATTGGTATGTGGTGCCTAATCTAGCAAACCAGATCTCCTACTTACCTTATAAATAAGAGCTGTAAACTAAGATAATAAACAAATGGGTCATTGGTATGTGGTGCCTAATCTAGCAAACCAGATCTCCTACTTACCTTATAAATAAAAGCCGTAAACTAAGATAATAAACAAATGGGTCATTGGTATGTGGTGTACAACAAACTTGGCAAACTGATTGTTGTATTGGTTATCACAGTATTTTTTGCTTTTATAATGGAGTATGATGGTTCTATTGGTTATCACAGTATTTTTGGTGCTTTTATAATGGAGTATGATGGTTCTATTGGTTATCACAGTATTTTTGGTGATTTTATAATGGAGTATGATGGTTGTATTGGTTATCACAGTATTTTTGGTGCTTTTATAATGGTGTATGATGGTTGTATTGGTTATCCCAGTATTTTTGGTGCTTTTATAATGGAGTATGATGGTTCTATTGGTTATCACAGTATTTTTGGTGATTTTATAATGGAGTATGATGGTTGTATTGGTTATCACAGTATTTTTGGTGATTTTATAATGGAGTATGATGGTTGTATTGGTTATCACAGTATTTTTGGTGATTTTATAATGGAGTATGATGGTTGTATTGGTTATCACTTTTTTTGGTGATTTTATAATGGAGTATGAAGTAGTTTTTTGTAGTTATTAGTCAGTAGGAAAAGTTTGGACCAAATGTACATTTCTGAAAATTACTTCTGTAAGTTGGAACACAATAACTCCCAAACTGCAAAAGTTTCTTACACCTGTTAAAATGCACAGATCATGTGCTACATACATAACTTACCTTTAAATCTTGAACTTCTGTGTAACACAGCTGTAAAAATATAAAGAACTAAATGTTTATGCAAGGTACAAGAAAAACAATACATACATACATACATACATGTACACCGAAAAAATTTACAATATATTTATTTAGCCTAACTTAGTGTGATGTCTATCTATCAATACAGTTAAGCCAGAAATGTTCATACCTGATAACATGTATATTTATAATAACAAAAAATTACCATCTTTGTTAAAAGTGCAATAAAAAACTTGATAAGCATATAGTTGGCAAATAAACAAATATAATGAAATAGTTCTTGCTAGATTTTTTTAAATTTTCTCTTTTACTGAAATTTAAATGGATTTTAATAGTAAGGTTTAGTGGTGGATGCTGATGTTAATAATGCAACTTTTATTTATTGTTTTTTGAATTCAGGATATAATAAATGCTGTGTTAAAGCAGCACCCATATTTGATTTATCGTCTTCCTTGCCAGTGGAATGTGCAGTTAAGTGACAACACACTGAGTGAGGTGAGTGTTATTGTTGAATATATGTTTGGGTTTTAGTCCATATCTAGTTATACCAGTGAATTTAGGAACAGTTACAGTTACTTTATGTTATTGATACACATTATTTAAACTTTTTAAATTACTTTTTGTGATTTAGAAATATTTTGTAATGAAAAAATACAGAATCATGGGTGAAAAAAGTTTACTATGTATATTCTAAACAATTCAATATATTTACATATCAAAAATTAAAAACTTAATAGTTCTAATGAGAATCAATTACAAATAGACAAATAATTTTCTTGTAGTCTATAATAATGTTACTAACACCAATAACAAATGTAGGGCTGTTAATTTAAAAAAAGTTTGTAAACTAAAACCATCCACATTATTCTATCTAGTTTTAATACTTTCCACAAGAACAAAATACCCGTGTATAAGATAAAGAATTACTGTATCTTAAAAACTAAACCAGCAGAATAAAGCTTTAACAGAAGCGTATTATGAAACAAATCTTATTCACAGAAAAAAAAAATAAACGAAATTTAACTTTGATCTAAGATAAATTTTTCAGTTTGTGATTACAAGAAATTTTTATGCATTATCATTCTTCCCATTACACAAAAAACATCATAAACACTTTTCTAGGCTTAATAAGAAATGATTATGAATTGTTAATTATCAAGTACTTTCATGGTCAAGAGATTTAACTTTGTACAAAAGATTTATATTTGTTTGTTTGTTTATTTTGAATTTCTCGCAAAGCTACACGAGGACTATCTGTGCTAGCCATCCCTAATTTAGCAGTGTAAGACTAGAGGGAAGGCAGCTAGTCATCACCACCCACTGCCAACTCTTGGGCTACTCTTTTACCAACATATAGTGGGACTGACCATCACATCATAATGCTCCCACTGCTGAAAGGGTGAGCATGTTTGGTGTGACGGGGATTCGAACCCACAGATTGCAAGTCGAGCGCCCTAACCACCTGACCATGTTTCAGTTAAGACCAACAAATCAAATGAACAGAAAATTGAAACAGAACAAATATGATTAAAACTTATAGGACATGCATTTGAAAAAAAAATTACTATGAAATTAATAACCTTATCCCTCTCTAGCACTTAACTAAAATGGAAAAAAATATAAAATATAAGCTAAAGAATAAAACTGAAACACTGTGTAGATAAACAATCACATAATAAGGATTAAACTGATCCACATGCAGTGTAGACATAACAAGGTTAAATAAAATGGCTTTTATTTTACAATTTTATATAGAATTTCACTCTCTCTCTGCAAAGTGGTATGAACCTTAGTAAAATTAAGAAACAAGATAGAATAAACTAAAGGACAGAACAGTAAACCCTCACTTGATCAGCCAGTGAAGTGGACAACATACTCAATAATTCCTTCTCTGCTATCAACTTCCACATCTGCATCCAAGAAAGCTCTCTCAGTCTGTCCAGATGGAGGAGAATGACTCCAGTGTTAAAGCCACGACCCTGTCCACAAAGAGAAAACATTATAATCACACAACTGTAAAACAGAGAGAAAATACCTAAGCATCTCCTAGTTGACATTTGAAAGTTGATTTTTTTTAACTTTATAAATGTTATAATGTTAAGTACAATAGGTAAAATATTATTTTGCATTTATTGAGGTATTTTGCAAGAAATTTTACATTATAAATTTGCCTAATTATAAATCCTGCATGAACTGAATATGCATTGTCCTAAATTAAAGGTAAGATACTGAAATTTCTTGGATGTTTTTTTTTTAAAGGAGCTAAGAACTGTCACATAGATATGTGTCACAATGAATTAACACAATTCAAGAAATAGGGCTTTGTTTTGAGTGGTAAATTTTATAGCAAACAAAGTAATAGTTTGACAGTTGGACATTATTCTAGAATTTGTGATTTTTTTTTTTATTTCACACTAGAGTAGATTTTATTCTTTGAATTTCTCAGTATTTTAGTATCGGATCCATATTTCTAAAGACTATACATTAACTACACTCAAGCTCAATCTCATGATATAACAATCGTAAGGTGATATGAATAATAAAATTAACAAGCTATATTAATAAAAAAAACATTCTACATTAGGTTACATAATACTTGTAAACTTTAACCTCTGTTACAAATAGATGTAAGATTTCACATATTAATAGTTATTAGCATTCATAAAAAAATTAGGAAAAGCTTAAGTTAAAACCAGCATTTTAATTTTAAAATGTTCCTATGTTGAGAAAACCATTAGCAGTGACTTACAAGAGCTGGCCATGGCCGATGATTTTTCCATAGTTTTCCTAAATACCAATCACTTTGATTTTCTACTAAACCAATTGCCTTGGGGAAAGTAAAAACAAAAAAGAAATTATCAACATTAAATATTCATGCATATGTCTGTATACGCACAATGAACTTGCATCAGTGATTACACTGTTTTCATCTGATAATAATGATTCTACCGCTGTATTAAGTTAGTGAAATATTCATTGTTTTTTTAACATTTTATCTTCTTTACTTGTTTTAAGTACCTCTTTATGATCATGGTTAGGTTTTTGTTGTTTTTTGACAATGATATTCATTACTATGGTACATATCATAAAGTAATTTTTAATTTGTCTACTGCTTTATTAAAGAAGTAAATTTTATTTTAAATTAAGACACAAACAAATAAAATATTGCAGGTTTCCCCGCGTAGGAGTGCATGGGATTGTGTATCTGATATATAAAACTTGCCACATCCTTTAGATCATAAAACATCAGAAAGAAAGTTTTTCAGAAGTGTTTACAGTATAGTCATCTTTATAACAACAAAATCTTGCTTAATGACTACTTACTTAATCGGCAAAGCTAAAACAGACTTACAATAAAGAAAAGTTTCCGTGATCGATATTATGAATAATTTAAAAGATTTTTTTTCACTAAATTACTGAAAATATAAAATCTTAAAGATCAGAAAAACCTTCAGAATATAAAGTTTTCTGGAATCTAGAGTATTTTCTCATATTGTGTTTGTATCCACAAGATTTTACTACAGTTCCCTCAAAGAGTAACAATATTTTCAATGCTACGCATGTATATGTATTACCAGCCCCCAGCACTGGTGTGGACAGGGGACCACCCTCTCAAATGTTGTTGGGGATGGCTACCATGAAAATATCATCCCCCTCCCCCCAACATAATGCTGTCTGTTGATCAATTTTATATTTATTTCATATTTGGCCCCTAAAACCAGGTGGAGTAGAGACTGGGAATTACTATGAAAATAAAGATTTTATATGGATCTATTTTAAGTCAAGGGGTTTAACTGAAGTGGTTATACACTTTTTTTATTGTTCTTTATTTATTTATTTTGCTTGTACTCACTCAAACAAATAATCTCCTTTAATAGTTTTGTATAAAACACTCTTCTCTGCCATAAATTATACCAAAAAACTGGCATAAGACAAAATTTAGAAAAGTTAAAACTTCACTTTACCTGTTTTGAGGAAAATTTGTGAAAAATTCTCCAAAGCTCTGCAATATCTGTGGCAAATGTTACATCCGTGTCCAAAACAATTATCTGTAAGAAACCAAGTAATATTCAGATAATAATAATAATTAAAAAAAAATGTTGTTTTAAAAATGCTTATTTGTAGTTTAAGTTACTATAAAAACAGTACTGGAAAATTAAAATTATTAGAGAACTATGGTTAAAAATATAATTTAAAAAAACATTAGTCACATTTTTCTCAATTTCACGAGATTCTTTTGCTCTATGAAAGCTCCATTTCTAATTACATATACAATAGTAGTGTAAGCTTACCTTCTCTAAAATGTCAGGTAAAGCTTTTGTTAAAATCAACTTCATCAAGCCATAGACACCGGAGTAATGTTTGTTAGGAACCCATGCAACTTCACCCCTTACATTGTCGGCTAGGTAAAAACTAACATCCACTGGTAACAATTAAACAAAAAAAAAACTGATGAGAAATATTGGAGATAAATATATAAGAATACATTTGAAACCCCGTAAAAAAAATTACTGAAAACAACTATGAGATACTAAATAAGAAATATGCATTTTGCTCACGAGGCATTTCTATTGTTCAAGCATTATAAAAAAAGAACTAGAATAGTGTGGTTCTTGGTATGAAAACAGTGAAATGAGAAGAGCATCAGATTGTTAATAAAAAAATTCTATACACATACTGAAGGAATTCAATGTTGTTTTTTTCTTTATTTTGAGGTTCCCTGAACAGTTCAAGAAAATAGAAAGAACACAATCAGATGTTAACCATTAATCATGGCCAAATCAATACAACTACAGGCACCATTTACACCTGTTAGAAATATATGCAAACAGCCTGTGAATGCAAAAAAAAAAAGAATTACCAAGTTTCACCCATAAATAAAAAATCCATTTTAAAACAGAGTACAGGATATGTACCCTGCGAAACAGAACAAAAACAGGAAGTTTCTGTCACACTAGTATATTAAATTAACAGTATCAGAGAAGTGTGATGACAGAAACATCTCCATCAACTTTAAATAAAAGAGGTAGGTTTACATAAAACTATCCATTGAGAGTGAATAGTTAAATATGTGCAAAACATGAACAACAACAAAAAAAAAAAAATTGAAAATATAATCCGGATGTAAATGTATTATCAGAATACATTTTTCTGTAGTCTAATAAAATACAAGTATCTGTAAATGTTCTTTCATGCAGAAAAATATTGATTTGTAAAAACAATAAGTCTTCCTTGGTGAGGTAAAACTGTTATGAAATAATGAATGTTTAAAGTCAAAAGTAGTAAGAAATCTAAAGTTTTATATACTGTCCAAATGTTCATTATGATACTGTACTGCTACGTTTATTTATTTGTTTCAAGTTAAGCACAAAGCTATGCAATGGGCTGACTGTGCTCTGCCCACCATGGGTATTGAAACCTGGAGAGGAAGCAGTATAATTTCCACATGTGTACTGATAAACGAGCTACGGACATTGGGTCAGTTTAATTATAACCTACAGGTCCACTTGAGGATAGTAGTGGTTAACTATTGTTTTAAGACATTTTTTGATGATTATGCTTTATTTTCAATATATAATAAACAAGTGTAAATGGAATACTTGTGTACAATGACTGTTTTAGATGGGTTCACAATCTTGTTAGATAAAAATGAATGGGATATTTTATGTGCACCTGTTTTTGATAGCCATTCTTATTTAGGATTTTTCTGTAGAGATCCAGATAAGAGGAGCAAAGGGTATGTGTAGGCTTTATTAAGTAAGCAATACAGTAGATTACATTTGTAACTACACCGTATGACCCTGTCAAGGAAAGCGTTCACATCAAAAACATCTTAAAAGAATAATTAACCAATACTATTCCCAAGTTTATTTAAATGTTATTTCTTCAAAAGGGGGCAAAAACCACTTGGAAGGGTTACCTGTTTTAACCACTCGCACCACTGTATAGTGATGTATTGTCTATTAGTCAGTCAGTAAACATGAAAAGGGAAGCTTAACGTCGCAACTTGTAGTGTCAGTAAAACATGCACATGCCATGAATCACGAGAAGAATTAGGCACTCTGTAGGCTACAACACAGCATGACATATGATCTTCAAAAGTAAGAAATAAAAATTTGTGACTCTTAATTTTGTTTTCTTTTTTACTTTTGAAATAGAACACTTTCAGTGACCCTGCAGAAGTACGTCTAGTCTTTCTTCTTCTTCTTCCGTAGCTTTTTCCCGTATCTATACGGGGTCGCTATTTTCGGTTTTGGCAG